CCATAACCCTTTTATAACAATGAAAAACCTGTTCAATCAGTTTTTCAATCTACCCACCCTTTCCTACCTAATAAAAGTACTAGTTTATGTGATCTAATATTTCTGATGAGTACAGAAGAAAGGATCTTGGGGAAGAAAGGTCATGGGCTGGTAGGGCTACAGATTTTATATTGAATTCTGAGAGGGATTCAAGAGCAACATGTGTGGCAGACCATATAGAATTGCTGAATACGTATGGGGGTGAGTATTTATCATTGACATTTCATGGGATTAAGCATTGGGGGTGATTGTGCTTGTGTGCAGCCTTAGAAGATTATTGCCATCCTTAACTAGTTGGCATGGAGTGTTCTTCCTGTTTTGCGTTTAGTTGGCCCAGTGGAGCAGAACTCTAGTGATACAGATTGTGTGTATGTATGTATGTGATGATGTCTATGTGTGTGTGTTGAGGAAGGGGAGACAGAGAGAAGCAGAAATTTTCTATTGAAGTCAGTAATGAGCTAAAGTGTTTTATGACCTAAAGGGGCTTCATAATTTCAATGACATCTTTCAAAAACCTATTAAGTGTAAGCATTCATAACTTTGGCATCCTAGTGGTGCCAATTTTTGGTTCATTTCATTCTAAAGCTTATATTGGCCTACATAAGATGATTAATTGTAACTTTTCCCCATAGGAGAATTTTTTTTCTTGTCATATCTTTTTTTAAAAGATTTTATTTATTTATTTTAGAGAGGGGGAAAGGGAGGGAGAAAGGGATAAGGGAGGGAGAAAGAGGGGGAGAAAGATCGATGTGCAAGCAAAACATTGGTTGCTTCTCACATGCCCCCAACTGAGGACCAAACCTGCAACCCAGGCATGTGCCCTGACTGGGAATCGAACCTGTGATGCTTTGGTTCATAGCCCACGCTCAATCCACTGAGCTACAACGCCAGCCAGGGTTACACTTATTTTTTAAACATAGTCCTGTCTTAGCCACAGTATAATTGTGCTATCTTTTAAAAAAATGGTAAATGCTTTATTTTAAAATCTTTCCACTGCTGTATTTTTCAAAGTATATTTTATTTACTTCTTGTTGAATCAACTTTATACATTTAGGTCTTAATTTCTTTTTTGTGATATTTTAAACAGAAGTAATCTTAGCAGCTGGGGTGGGAATAATGAACTAAGTCATACAGCGGTTAATACGAGTTTGTACAGCCCGGTCCTTCATGATTACGTAAGATTTCAAGTAAAGTTGCTTCTTTAAAAAAAAAATTTATTTTACTTATTTTTAGAGAGGTAGGAAGGGAGGGAGAAAGAGAGGGAGAGAATCATCGCTGTCAACCGGTTGCCTCTTGCACACCCCCAACCTGGACCTGGCCCACAACAGAGCCAAGTGCCTTCATCAGGAATCGAACCAGTGACCCTTTGGTTCACAGGCTGGCACTCATTCCACCAAGCCATACCAGCCTCACACCAGCTGGGACACACAGCAGGGTGTAAAGTTGCTTTTTTAAAATATTTTATTTATTTATTTTTAGAGAGGGAAGGGAGGGAGAGAGAGAGAAACATCAATGTGAGGTTGCTGGGGGTCATGGTCTGCAACCCAGGCATGTACCCTGACTGGGAATCGAACCTGCAACACTTTTGGTTCACAGCCCGCGCTCAATCCACTGAGCTACGCCAGCCAGGGCTGTAAAGTTGCTTCTTAATCTACAATTGAATCAAGTTCTGGACCATTACTATCCGTGTGATCTGCAAAAGTTATGTTTAGCTTCAGTTTTCTCATCTGTAAAAAAAATGGGAAAAACAATAATAACCACTGTATAGGATTGTTATAAGAATTTAATGAGCTTACACAAATAGAACTTCATATATGGTGAAGTGATATACATTATTTGTTATGGCAGTTTTTAGGAAAGCACCATAATATAAAGTTTCACAATTCAGTTTTAGTAATAAACTCTATACATTTTTTAAATTTAATCTGTAGGCAAGGTAACTTTTAACCTTAATTTGGGATTTAGAATTAGTATAAGAACTACATAAATACAGTAGTATGCTTCCTGTACCTTACTGATACTTTCAAAATGAATGGTAACTAAATCCCATCATTTCAGAGTCGAGTAAGTCCAGACATAAAGGCTTTCCCCCATTGCCTGGAGTTTTGAAATAATTTTTGGAGCCTGCCGTTTTAGTGAATGTATTTCTTGCCAGTAGGAATTTGAATATAAAGATTTAAAAAATAGATTTGCTGTTATGTTACCACATGAGCCTTATATGATCTGGTTCACTATTCCCAACACAGCTAATTCTAAGGTTACTTCTCTTTAATAAGATTATGAATCTGGTTATATTTTGCTTGTTTGTTTTGTGTGAAGTTAACAAACTGACAGTAACCAGAGGGGAGGTGGGGGGGGGCTAATGGGGGGCAAGGGGAGGGGTCATCAAGGAACATGTACAAAGGACCCATGGACAAAGGGTGGATAGGATGGAGAGTGGGAGGTGGGGATGGCTGGGGTAGGGGGAAGTGGTAGGGGGAAAATGGAGACAACTGTGCTTGAACAATAAAAAAATTAAAAAAGATTTGTGAATCTAGTAAAATTGTGCATTTTGAAAGAAATTGCCCTTTTGGTCAGCTAAATTGTGCCAAAATATGAACTTTCCTTAGGACTTCTAAGAAAATCGAATGTGCAGAAACAACTGGTTTTCTCTTTGCTCACATAGAAATGTTGTGAGTGGGAGTGGGTATGTAGGAGGGCTTAATTTATAGAATTTATTTAAGAGTTTTTCTTAATACAGTACTACTTAAATTCTGAGGGTAATTTGTGGTCTACATAATTGACAGTAGTTGAATTATTGAGGAAGGTGGGGAAGAGTCTAATCTTCCAGTTTAGCTAGGTCATGTATTATCTGAGCTGTTAGGTCTCTGGGGTTAAAAAAAAAAATCCCATTTCCTTTTTGAAATGGTGATCCCTATGGCAGCGTTGTGATGTGACTTTCAAGGTTACTCTATAAAATGACTCACAGATATCCCAGTGGCAACAAACATCTCCAAGTCCATTCATTCTGTTAAGTACAAGGAGAGCACCTCTATTCCCTTAATTTTTTTCACTGCCCATCTTCAGCTGTTATATTTTCCTTGATATATAGAAACCAGAATTGTAAGCAGTATCACAGGGCCGTATTTCTTGTGCTTTTTTTTATAAGGTAGAAGAGAATTTGGGCACCTTCCCAAAGATGCCCAGTAGTGTGTGGGGCATTTTAGAAACAGCCATACATGGAACTAAAGGTTTCAGGGAAAACTCTATAATGACTTGTATGTGTATCACCCTAGGAATTTTTTTAAAGATTTATTTATTTATTTTTAGAGAGGGAAGGGAGGGAGGGAGAGAGAGAGAGAAACATCAATGTGTGGTTGCTGGGGGGCCGTGGCCTGCAACCCTGGCATGTGCCCTGGCTGGGAATCGAACCTGCGATGCTTTGGTCACCCTAGAATTTTAAGTTTTTTTACTTTCCCTCAAATTGTGCTCCCCTTATATTTCACCCCTATTGAAGTTTTTATTTATTTTTTAAATTTAATAATAGTTGGTATAAAACATTATATTGGTTTCAGATGTATAATAGTATTCATCATTTTATACCTTACAATGTTAGCACTACACTAAATCTACTAATCATTTGTCACTGCAAACTTACCACACTATTGACTGTATCTCCCTTCACCTTTTCCACCCAACCCCCATCCCCCTTATTGAAGTTTTTTGCTTTTCTACCTGTGTACACAAGTCATATGTAAATTTGTATTGTATAATTTATGTTTGTTTGCTTGACTTGTTATTTTATTTTTTATTGCATTTTTGGGTGACATTGGTTAATAAAATTATATGTTTCAGGTGTACAATTCTCTTCTATAATACATCATCTGTATATTGTATTGTGTGCTCACCACCGAAAGTCAAGTCTCCTTCCATCACCCTTTATCCTCCTTTAACCCTCTTCTACCTCCCCCACCCCCTTTCCCTGTGGTAATCACCATACTGTTTTCTAAGAGTTGTTGGGGGTTTTTTTGGTGGTGGTTGTTGTTTAATCCTAGAATAATACCATCTCCTTGGAAATTCCTTGAGCGGTTCTCCACCTTCATTGTGCATCAGAATAGAGCTTTTAGCAACTAAAAAGGCCTGGGTCCTGCTCCCTTGGAGTGGGGGCTGGGAGGGGCAGGCAGTGCTAATTTTTTAAAAGCAGTTTAGGTGACTGCAGACAGGGCAGAAAGCCCCTGAATCTAGGCCATTTATAAATGTACTCCTTAATGTTGGGCCCAGTCTCTGAGGATCTCACTGTTGACACTTTTGCTTCCCAATTAAGATCCATGAACTCCATATGTTTTTGAAATTCTCAGTTTATGATGAAACATTTTTTTCCAATTCCTTACCAGCTGTTTTTCTAGTATTGTACTTGGTGTAATGTCTTGTCTGACACATTTTTGAAAGCTATTAATCGGTAGCTTCTCCTCATCCACGAACTTGTGCTGCTGCACCCATTAACGATTCTCTCTGTCCACAGATATGCTGTCAACATCCACAGTAGACACTTATTTTTTGTGAGATTGTTGTTGAACATGATGAACTCAGTATATCTTTGTTGTTGACTCAGATTAACCCATCACAATTTATGGAAGATACACCACTTTTGGCATCAAAGACATGCATTGTGCTTTGAGGCTCCCTGTATTAGCTATTTGTGTTCTCAGTATCTAACCCCTCCCTTTATCTCCCTGTATTTTAGATACTGCCACTAATGCCATTGCTCAAGGGAAACGCAGTCAACATCGGTTTAGCATGTCCTCATCCCAGTCTTCAAACACAAGATCACCATTCAAACTAGGTATAATTTCTAGAATGCTCTAATAAATGTCAAAGTGTCACCTTGTTAAAATTTTATATCCAATTGATGTCTAACTATATTCTTTTTTTAGTAACAGATGGATCTGTGCTTAAAAATGATATAAAACAACAATTAGCGAAGGAGCGAAGAGAAGAAAAAAGAAGACAACAAGATGGTATATTTCATACTTTTTAAAAAATTGAAATGAATGAATTTTATATTAAGTTCCATATTTCCAAAGTAGTTTTACTTACTTTTCCTGAGCTGTTTATATGATAGATCACACTTTTTATAGTGTGCATTATATTGGATTACATGCTTATACTAAATTAGATAAAGGCACATAAAAATATTTGATTAAATTGTTTTAATTTTTGAAGTAAGCTTTACTGTTAGCTTTAATTTTCTGAAAACTAAGGTGTGAATGTATCTTCAACATTTGTAGAAATAAGCAGTGGGACTTGGTAAAGTGATACTAAATATGTAAATGAAGTTGCTAGGAGTCCTTACGTGGATATGATATCTTTCAGTGGTTGCTATGCTTCTCATGTGTAACTTTGAGTCAACTGGGATCTAAAAGAGTAATCTTTCTATCTATACCTTGAGAGCATGCCTTTTCAACTGTGTATTTTTCTCCTCTGGTCCTGTAAATCCACTGACAATACTAGTGTTCAACTTTATTCAAATGGAGTATCAATTACCTTTGTTTTGGTGAGGAACCCTTTCTTCCTTGCTCTAAGCCGGAGACTATTTTACACCTGTATAGATGCTTAAGCAAGGGGAAATTTGAATAGGCAAACATCAAAATGTGGTATGTGACTAAGCCAGTGCACTGGCATGCTCAATATGGTCAGTACAGATGAGGCCTTTGAAAGAAGTTTCCTAATGGAAGAGGAAAAACCACACTCTGGTCATGTGTTGTTGTTTTTTTAATTCTTATTTTAGTGTATGCCATGTTAATTGGGTGGGGTTTCACTTCAGCTCAAATCATCAGACATATTATGGATGAAACTTTTTCTTCTTAATTGGAATTTTGTTTCAGACAGGATGAAAGTCATCAAAGTTAATTTAGTTCTCTGGAGTTAAATGAACACCCAGTGAAAATGCACCTCTGTTAACTTATATAATAAATGTTTAGTTATTAGCGCAGATTATTTTAAAGAGAATGAGATAATAATTAACTTTCTCCTCTGTATATAATATGAAAAACTTGAAATATTTTCTTGGCTCCTATACCTTGTATTTGGAATATTTCAGCTACTAAAGAAATGCAACTACTTGAAAAAGAAAGAAAGGCAAAGATCCAGTATGAAAAACAGATGGAAGAAAAACAGCGAAAGCTGCGAGAACAAAAGCAGAAAGATGAACAGCGAAGAATATCTGCAGAAGAAAAAAGAAAACAAAAATTACGGGAAGATAAGGTACATATTTTTCTAGACTGTTAATTAGATGATATATGTGTTGCCTGGATCTGGGATACTTTTTTTTTTAAGCCTTTCTCTGTCTTTTACTGGTCCACCCTGTGGAAAGGGAACAAATGCCAATTCTTCCTTTCTTCCCTTCAATATTGGAGACTCTTGTTCCTGTCCCAATCAGATTCTGGGCGTTGAAAACCACTGGCTTGAGGTAAAGAGGAGCCTTGCAGATCTAGAAGGAGAAACCGCCCCCCCTCACCTTCAGGACATGGCACGTAGGGTGCCTCGGGCCCAGGGTTTGCTCTGAGTAGCTCTCTCCTATCAAAAACTTTTCAGTGAATTCCTAATATGCATGGACCCACTATTTGGTCCTCCCTCACAGGGCCCCATCTGACCGGCTTACTTCTCCCTACTGCAACTGTCATTGCCTGGCTGCGTCCCAGCCAACTCCAAGCACTGCTGCTCCCTTACACATTTCCCTGACTTCCTCTTGTGTGTGCACACACTCTCCCTTGCCCTCTCCCTCATGTTCTTCACATTCCCTTTTTTCTCTGTTGTTTTGTGGCCTACTGTTCTCTTTTCCTTTCTCTGTTAGTGTCTTTGGCACCTCTTAGTATGAGTCACTGCCTTTGTGATGCCTTCTCCTTTTCTCTTCTGTGTCCCTCTTTACCCAGTTTCTTTTATTACTTATACATGGACATCTGGCTCCCTGTCTCATTTTGTATGATTCTGTCTGACACCAAATTTTTCTCTTGTACTTCATCGCACTACCTTATTCTGAGTAAATTGACTCTTTCTTCTGAATCTGACAAATTCTCTGACGCCATTCTCTTTCTTGCTGGCATTGCCTTTTCTTCATTCCAGTGACTCTCGGGTGTCCCTAAATAAGTCTTAGTCTGTCTTCTGGTTCTCTGTTTTAGGTGCCTCACTTTTCTTTCTTTGTTTTAGCTTGCCTCTTTTTCTCTTCTCATATGTGTACCTTCTGCCTGTTCCCTTAGTATGCAGGCTTTTATCTTTCTCTCTTTTTCTAGGTTACTCTAAGTTTTACATTTCTTTTTCTCCTTTTTCTCTTTGGTTCCATTTCTCCCCCGTGAGCATTCATCTCTGTGATGCTGTCTTTCCCTCATTCCTCCTGTACACAGTTGCTCTGGCATAAGCTTCACCCCCCCGTTTCTACCTCCCATCTGTGGATCTTCCTTATTCTAGGACTGTATTTGTGTCATTTCTTCCCCATTCATGATCCATTACCACTTTCTCTTTCTCTTTTTGAACTTTTTTCCAAGGGTTGCTTGTGCTCTTTTTTTTTTTTTTTCACAATTCAGTAGTTGATGGACTCTCGTTTAGAAGTTCTGTCACCTTGTTTTTATCTGTGAAACACGTCCTTAATTTACTTTTCTATGTTGAAGAGAAAGTGGGGGGAGAGGGAAAGAGAATATAAGCTAAGAAAAGACAGAGAACCAAAGAAAGTAAAACAGAAAACTGTGTGTGCAGAGTGGGCCAGAGTGGAGGAGAGAGGCAGTCCCAGGGACTGAGAGAAAAAAAAAATACCATCTTAGGGAAAGAGGAATCTGAGAGAATATAGAGGAGAATGCAACAAAATGACACTGCAGACAGAAAGGGAGCCAGACACATGACAAGAAAAGAGGCAGAAAGACAAGAATACAGGGCCAAAGAGAATCAACCCCAGGGAGCTCATGTGGGGGAGCACAGCAGGGACTGTGGGACTTTATAAGTAAGCTGTAGGTAGATCAAGGAAAAAACCCAAATTTCTGGTGCTGAGGAGGGGCCACAGGAGACACCATATTTTGCCCTGTGTAATGCGCATTTTTTGTGCCCGAATTTTTGAGGGAAAAATAAGTATGCACATTATCCATGGGTAGTACCTGAGGTACCTTTAATCTGTTATGCTTTGTAGTTACTTAGTACATACAATTTCTTGTACCATAACATGTTCAAAAATGCTAAAAATTCCTTTGTCATACAGAAAACCAGTATCTAAATATAAATTTTAAAAAATTGAATTAAAAAATAAATTATTTTTTTCCTGAAGTTTTGGGCCAAAAACATGGGTGCATATAATAAGCAGCAAAATGTGGTATATCTGAGTCACGGATGCAAGAAGGAACCGGAGAGCACAAGTTCATTTGGAAACAGCAGGATGGAATTTTTAGGAATCAGTAATGTTCTGTTAATACAAGATTAATCTCTGATTTTAGTGTTCATTTCTGGGTTTCTGAGTAATTTGGAACAATTTTCTATTAGAAAAAATAATTTTAAAATATTACCCTTAGATGCATGTTTTTGAAAATTTTTAGTAATTGCAATTGCTACTCTTCTCAGAGGATACAGCCAATTCTCCATCTGCCTAGTGTGTTTACCCTTTTTGCCCTCAGAGAAACGGTGGGGACATTACAAGGATGATGTTGCTAAGAAACGGTGGTTGTCAGGGAAAAATAGAAAAGCTAGCCCTGAAGTTAATTTGCTTACCTTAGTATAACCCGTGGTATGTTACAGCATAGGGATGAAAAATATCTAAGTAAAGAAAACCATCTCATTTCTGGCAGTGCAGTTGTTTTGTCACTGTGTGGCATTGACATTTGTGTACTTGTTGTCCTAAGAAGTTTACACTGAACTTGAGGTCAAGACAAGCACATCAATTATCTTTTTAAAAACTGGATTATGTAACACCAGAATTTAAGATGTTTTAAATGTGGGTACAGTGGATGACCATGGCATAGATTTCACATCATGTGTGCTAGTTGATTTTTTTCCTGCCTTGTTCTAACAGAATTTCAGGTATATTAAAAAAAATACATACTACAACCACGTGATGTGTGTTTGAGGGATTCAAGCAGAGGGCAAAATTAAAGCAGGAAAATAATAAAACATAAGTTATGATTAGTTAACACAAAATTGGTCCCCTCAGTCTTCTCTAACTGGTAGCAAGAGGCTACAAACTTGATTCTAAATTCCCAATGACATAAGCAGAGGGAAGCACAGTTCTTCAATTCAGATTCCTAAGATTAAAATCTAGTTATTCAAGAGAAGCACTGATATTGATTGATAAACTGTGACATGTCTATTTTTAACTTTTACCTGATACAAAAAAAGTTCTGCCTGATACAAAAATTTGGTGATGGTGTTGTTTTATAACCCACAGATCATAATTATACTAAGCACTAAAAGGAATGTGTGAACATTGTTGGTATTTACTTAATTTTATTTATTTCTTTTAAATAGGAAAAATTCAAAGCTGTTGTCTCTCGTACATTGGAGCGCAACAACCATATTGAACGTGTAAAAAGATCGGAAGCCTCTGTGACAGTGAACTCTGAAAGCAAAATGGGTAATTAATAAAAACAACATTTAAACTTTTAAGTTCATTTATGTGTATATTTAAATGTTGTCTGTTAGTGTAAGGTCGCATTTACAATGCAGTTTTGAGTTTTGTATCTTAACTGAAAATGCTGTCATGTACTCTTCAGCATGCACAGTATTTCACCTGTGTTGTTTGATTGCAAAAGAAACAGGTAAAAATTTAATAACTTTATTTTATCCAGGATATGCAAAACCTTACCAGTTAAATTTGTAATTAGTATAAAATAATTAATAAATAAGCTTGACACACTTTTCCAGTGCATGTTTTAAAATTTTTTTTAGTTTTTAATTTAAATTGTTGTTCAGGTACAGTTCTCTGCCTTTTCCCCCCATCTCAGCCCACCTCCCCAGCCCTCCCCACCTCCCTCCCATTTCCACCCCCCCTAGTTTTTGTCCATGTGTCCTTTATACTTGTTCCTGCAAACCCTTCCCCTTTTCCCCTGAAATTCCCTCCCCTCTCCCCTCTGGTCACTGTCAGCCTGTTCTCTATTTCAGTGTCTTTGGTTATATTTTGCTTGTTTGTTTTTAAAATAAATTAATTCTGTCTTGTTTACTATTGATATGTAATGTAAATTTTCCTACACGTGGACGAATTCTGCACAATTTCATAAAACCTAAGTTAAATTTACATAGTTTTTAAGGAATGACTGATGATGAATGTTGTGTACCTAATTAATCCATGTTAAGGCTCCATAGAACTAGATCATGAACTCATTTTTTTTTTGGCTAATGATGCTTTCTTAAAATAGAAGTACAGTAAATATTATATCTTTTCTCAGTCAATAAACCATCTGTAGCTATTGAAAAACTTGAACAGGAGACTTCTGGATCAAACAAACAAAGAACTGTGCCATCTTCCAGTCTTCAGAATTCTGTTGCCAAAAGTAAGTAGTTATTTTATGTATTCCACTGAATTTCAAATCAATGAAATGAATTCTTTATATGTATTTTAACAGTATCACTTATTCTTTAGATTGTTCCACATTCAGATTTACTATAGAAGAGCACCACATTGATTTACAGTAGACATGATCATTACCATTTTGTATTTTCATCAATATACCAATATAAATATCAATGTATGTATATATATAAATCAATATATCAATATAAATATCAGTGTAAATCATCTTTGTGATTTGTGTATTAATCACATCAGATGGGTTTGTTAGACTCAGGTAGCCCAAAGTGAAACATATTTTGACTAAAAGTCATGGCCACTTAGTGGCACAATAATTTGTCTTAAAAGTAATTCATATTCTTTCTAACTTATGAATGAAATCTTTTTTTCCTAGGGACTAGTTAAACCAGTCATTTAATTTTCAATATTTTATAAATATTACCTCATTTAAGGAAAATAATAGCATATATATAGCATGGACAGATTGATCTGCTTCACATATATTTGTTATTCACAACAACTTTGTAAAGTTGACAAGCAAGTATAATTACCTTCCTGATTTTATAGTTAAGACCCCAATCAATTTGCCTACTATGAATACATCAAAATACCTTTTGCCTCTGGTGTTTGCCCTTTTAATTTCTTATTTTAAAACTCGCTATCTGAGTGTGTGTCAGTGACCAATTCTGGCTGTAACACATAGTGCTTTCATTAATAATCAAAATGGATTAGGCAGTCCATACCCATCAATAAAAAAAAAGAACCTTTTTCTTTCTAGACATAAAAACAGAAGTGATTGTGGCAGGAAAAAGACATGCTAAACATTCCACAGCATTCCCTCAAACTTAGCCATTAAAAAGGAGAAATACCACCCTGGCTGGTGTGGCTCAGTGGATTGAGTGCCAGCCTGTGAACCAAAGGGTCACAGGTTCCATTCCCAGTCAGGGCACATGCCTGGGTCCAGGTCCCCAGTAGGGGTGCGAGAGAGGCAACCATGCATTGATGTTTCTCTCCCTCTCCCCTTCCCTTCCTGAACTCTGTCTAAAAATAAATTTAAAAATAAAAAGGAGAAATACTACTTTTTTACCTTATGAATCAAAAACAAAAGGTGTAACTGTAGTTTGAATTATGGAAGAGGGGATGGCTAGGGTGGAGGGAAAATGGAGACAACTTTACTTGAAGAACAATAAAGTTTTTAAAAAGTAAAACAAATAAATAACTGATAAAATTATAATGAAGCAGGGAATAGAGCACCCAAGATAATAAGAAAAACATGTATCAGGAAACACTCTGCACAGTTAAATGCTAATTATTTTAAATTCCATGTGAAATAAAGCATTTTTTGGAAGCCAAAAAAAGGGTTTTTTTTTTGTATTATTAGTGCCTTGACAGTTTTTGGAACAACTCAGATTGCTATAAAATTTCAATATAGCAGAAGATTCTGCATCTGATTTTAAAGTATAATTTGTTGTAGAAGTGGTTACCTTAGTGGAAAAGATTTCTATTTTGTCTAAATATTATATTTTTAATATGTTAAATGATTTTTGTTTTGTTCATACTTACATTATGTTATTTGTACTTTTAGGACACTTACAGTTTCCAGCAATTTGCTGTGGGTTCTTTTGTTTGTCAGTTTGGGTGCATCCCATTTTCTCTTGCAGTGGTCTCACAAAGTTGACCCATTTATCACCATTACCCTCAATTTGCTTTCCCAAAACACTTTTATGTACAGCCCAGATCCATTCATAAATTAATATGGGAAGATTTTCTGTAGCACCTTCTTGTCATGTAATAAAATTTATATTTCACTAACTCAGTCTTTCAGAAAAATTATATATCATATTGCAATGTCGTGTTTATATACTTTAATTTTAATGTATCTTGTTTCACAAGCATTGACTGTTACTCTCTAATGCTTTGATGTATTAGCAAAGATTTCCTCCAGAGACATTTATTACATTTTTAGTATACTGAGAAGACACTAATATGCTTTTACTAATATGTCTACTTCCCAAGTTAATGAGACATGTAAAGAGAAGGGACAGGTGATGACTTTGAAGATAATAATTACTTAAATTGCACTGAAGAAGCAATTCCAAGTAAATTTTTAAATGATTTCTTTACTAGTTTTAAATACAAGAAGGTATGTGTGGAAGATACTTTGTGAAATAACTTGCTTAAAGGTACAGTATATTGCTAACCTTGAAATGATAAATGTTGTAATTAATCATTCCATGGAAAATAAAATCAATATTGGCAATGGCTTACCTTTGTAAAAGCCCTTCAAATTGAAATGGCATCTGTCCAATACAGAGAGATGAACATTTCAAAGTCAAATGAAGTTCATAGTCTAACCTATAGTATTTTAGGTAGCCCTGTTTTAAAATCTTGGCTGATTCAAATAGTCTCCTTCTGCTCATTGCTGCCTCATAATAACTGTCTATATCATTTTGTCATTCCTTGCAGTATGATAATAAAGGATGTGTGACTGAAGAAATCAATTACACCTCCGTGGTTCATGGTGCTTAATTATATTATCAATTCAGGAATTTTCAAATGATGCTATATTATCAATAATGTACTCTAATTTGCAGAGCCTCAAAAGAGAAAATATCTTTAAACAAACATTTCTCTATTCTGAACCAGAATATTGCGAGTGAAATGGAAAAGTGTCTACACAAAAGATTATTTTCCCTGTGAATGGTTTGAGTTTCTAAAGTTGTGTATCTATTGTACCATATGCTACTGATCATTTTTATTTAAAATTACTAGTTATAACCAAAAATAATACTAGTTATAACTAGTTATAAGTAAAGTGTAAGTAACCTTAGTAGTAAGTGTCATAGATTAAGTCCACAATTGAAGGTGGTGTATTCCTAATTTGGGAATTTTGATGTTAGGTAGTATCAGATATTAACCCTTTTAATTTTTATAATTTTCTAAATATTTTTATTTCATTTTATTTTTTATTTTTTAATATATTTTATTGATTATGCTACTACAGTTGTCCCATTTCCCCCCTTCTCTCCCCTCCACCCTGTACCCCCTCTTCCACCCACCTTCCCCCCCTTTAGTTCATGTCCATATGTCATACTTATGAGTTCTTTAGCTTCTACATTTCCCGTACTATTCTTGCCCTCCCCCTATCTATTTTCAACCTACATTCTATGCTACTTATTCTCTATACCTTTTCACCCCTCTCTCCTCTTCCCACTCCCCTGCTGCTAACCCTCCATGTGCCCTCCATTTCTGTGGTTCTGTTCCTGTTCTAGTTGTTTACTTAGTTTCTTTTGGTTTTGCTTTAGGTGTGGTTAATAATTGTGAGTTTGCTGTCCTTTTACTATACATGTCTTTTCTTTATCTTCTTTTCTTAGATAAATCCCTTTAGCATTTCATAAAATAAGGGCTTGGTGATGATGAAATCCTTTAACTTGACCTTATCTGAAAAGCACTTTATCTGCCCTCCCATTCTAAATGAGAGCTTTGCTGGATAGAGCAATCTGGGATGTAGGTCCTTGTCTTTCAGGACTTGGAATATTTCTTTCCAGCCCCTTCTTGCCTATAAGGTCTCTTTTGAGAAATCAGCTGACAGTCTGATGGGAATTCCTTTGTAGGTTACTGTCCCCTTGTCTCTTGCTGCTTCTAGGATTCTCTCCTTCATTTTTACCTTGGCTAATGTAATTATGATGTGCCTTGGTGTGTTTCTTCTTGGGTCCAACTTCTTTGGGGCTCTCTGAGCTTCTTGGATTTCTTGGAAGACTGTTCCCTTTGCCAGATTGGGGAAGTTCTCCTTTATTATTTGTTCAAATACATGCTCAATTTGTTGCTTTTCCCCTTCCCATTCTGGTACCCCTATAATTCGGATGTTGGAACGTTTAAAGGTGTCCTGGATGCTCTTAAGCTTTTCCTCATTTTTTTTGAATTCTTATTTCATCATGTTTTCCTGCTTGGTTGATTCTATCTTCCCTCTGGTCCACTGTATTGTTTTGAGACTCAGATTCCTTCCTTTCACTATTGGCTCTCCTCCGTGTATCTTCCTGCATCTCTTTTATGGTAGCCTGCATCCTTTCATCTAATTTGCGCCCAAAATCAACCAATTCCATGAGCTTTCTGATCACCAGTGTTTTGAACTGTGCATGTGATAGATTGACTATTTCTTGGTCGCTCAAAAGGATGAGTTCTGGGGGACTGATCTGTTCTGTTGGAAACATGTCTTTCCCTGTCTCTCCTTTTTTTTTTCCGGTCTGGTCGCTCTTGTTACGGTGCGGGGTGGAGCCTTAGGTGTTCACCGGGGCTGGGCACCCCTGTTGCTAGATTGTGACGTTAAATGTGGGTGCTGGGGCGGGAGTGGGAGCGGGGGCGGGAGGGAACAATGGCGGTAGTTCCGTTCTCCTGGGCTCAGACTCTTCTCTGGGATCCTGGGCTGCGAGCTCTGCCCTGGTCCACAATCACTGCCTCACTGGGTCCGCCAGCCGCAGCTTGTGTACTCAGGGATCACCGCTGCCTTCTTGCGCCCCGGACGGCTGTCGCGCAGATTTCGCACCAAATTTTCCCGGACTTCCGCGCACCGCCGACCCGCGCCAGCCCCATGCCCGCCCTGCTCGTCTTCTCCTACCGGTCTGGATGTATGGGTCTACTTCAACTTCTTGGCTGTCCGACTTCCAGTCAGATAAAATCCTCTATCAGTTCTAGGTGTTATTCTATCTGTAAATTATTGTTGTTCTAATCTTGGTTGTGCGAGGAGGTACAGTGCGTCCACCTATTCCTCCATCTTGCCGGAAGTCCTCCATTTTATTTTTTCCATGCATCCTTTGTACATTTCCTTGATGACCCTTCCCCTTCTTTCTCCCATTCTCCCCCCTCCCCTCTGGTTACTGTCAGTTTGTTCTTTATTTCACTGTCTCTGGTTATATTTTGCTTGCTTGTTTGTTTTGTTCATTAGGTTCCAGTTAAGGGTGAGATCATAATGGTATTTGCCCCTCA